TGGGGTCCTCCCAATTCGGCATTCCCCCTTTCCTATTCCTATTCAGAGTAGGAAGGGAGGAGGGGGAAGGGGGAATCCTATTCCCCTTTTCCTTTCCTCCTTCCCCTTTCCTTCTCCAATTTGGCCAGCCCATATGGGGGGAGGGTGGGCGCACCAGCCCCTTTGTGGCTGGTGTGTTTCCCCTCTTGGCCCATAAGGCCCATATCTTTTGCTGGGGGTGCCCGGAACCCCTTCCGGTGACCCGATAAGTACCCGGTGCATCCCGAAACACTTCCGGTGTCCGAATACCATCGTCCTATATATCAATCTTTACCTCTCGACCATTTCGAGACTCTTCATCATGTCCGTGATCTCATCTGGGACTCCGAACAATATTCGGTCACCAAATCACATAACTCATATAATACAAAATCGTCATCGAACGTTAAGCGTGCGGACCCTATGGGTTCGAGAACTATGTAGACATGACCGACATCTCTCCGGTCAATAACCAATAGCGGAACTTGGATGCTCGTATTGGTTCCTACATATTCTACAAAGATCTTTATCGGTCGAACCGTTATGACAACATACGTTATTCCCTTTGTCATCGGTATGTTACTTGCCCGAGATTCGATCGTCTGTATCTTCATACCTAGTTCAATCTCGTACCGGCAAGTCTCTTTACTCGTTCCGTAATACATCATCCCGCAACTAACTCACTAGTCACATTGCTTGCAAGGCTTCTTATGATGTGTATTACCGAGAGGGCCCAGAGATACCTCTCCCATACTCGGAGTGACAAATCCTAATCTCGATCTATGCCAACCCAACAAACACCTTCAGAGATACCTGTAGAGCATCTTTATAATCACCTAGTTACGTTGTGACGTTTGATAGCACACAAGGCATTCCTCCGATATCCGAGAGTTGTATAATCTCATAATCGAAGGAATATGTATTTGACATGAAGAAAGCAACAACAATAAAACTGAACGATCAATATGCTATGCTAACAGATGGGTCTTTTCCATCACATCATTCTCCTAATGATGTGATCCCGTTCATCGAATGACAACACATGTCTATGGTTAGGAAACTTAACCATCTTTGATAAACGAGCTAGTCTAGTAGAGGCTTACTAGGGACACTGTGTTTTGTCTATGTATCCACACATGTATCAAGTTTCCGGTTAATGCAATTCTAGCATGAATAATAGACATTTATCATGATATAAGGAAATATAAATAACAACTTTATTATTGCCTCTAGGGCATATTTCCTACAACCAGTTGGTGCCGCTTCAGAGGAAGAACACTACCATCCTTTTGTGTTGTTGAAGAAGTACCGAGGGGGAAAAGGTTGGAGGCGGTCATCCCTTGTAACGGCTTAGTGGCCTGCACTTGAATATATTTGTGATCGCCATCAAGTGAATTGCTATCTGTGGTCGCCGTGACAACAAATCTCTTTCCCATCAGAGCATGCAATTCAATGCATGTGCCAAGTCAGGCCCCTTGTTTGAGCCACAACCCGTGGCCCAAAGAGCGAAGTCTACATATTTTGGCTCTACTATACCACCATTCTACACATCTATGATGCAAAGACGATTTTTTTATCTGCAAGTAACCACATGATCTGTAGTACATCGATAATTGAAAATATGCGCTTATTTCTAGGTTGTTATGAGAAAAATACCGGGAAGTGGCACATGGTTCGAACAAGTCGTCCATTTGTATACATCACTCTCCTTAACTCCTTTGATCATTCTCTATAGCTCATGTACCACCAATCATCGACTAGAACCATTTAAGTAACCCGGATTCTTAACTTGTAGCCCTTTTCTGGTGCAACATTATAGAATATTAACATATAATCTAAATGGCTACACAATGCAAAATATATTATATACCCAAAGAAACTGAGACATTGTTCAACGCATAATGATGCATCATCATATCTGTTGGATGTAGTTCATCTAACGCTACAATGGATGTCTTAGTTGGTTCACGCCAGTTTTGGGCCATTCTTTGTAACTCAATTTGATGAAGCATGAACCTCCTGCTGCATGATTCCAATAGTTACCAACAAATCAATTTGATATGATCTTGTTTCTTAAAAATACAAAAATAAGCATAGGAAGAGCAATTTGTTATTATTACATTTCAGATGGCTGACTCCTCAAGAGCTACCATATTATTGTACCATCTAGTGGCCCAGGTCTATTTGAATGCTAGCATACCTGAATGTCGTAATAATTTCCATATCGTTGTCATTTTTCTCAAATTAATTTAAGACAGTGACCAAAAATAATCTCTTCGACGTCATTGTTTACATACTTGAATTTTGATCAACCAAGATGGTGACAAACATATCCACAATAGGCTCATCCTTCGACCACTCAGATAGTCTATCATCGTCAAATGTATCTACCAGATCTTCCCATAATGTCACAACAACACACTAATTGTATGAAGATTCATAGTTAATTAACAAGCCATAAGAATGAATTATCCATAGTACAATAAATAGTTACATAGAGCACTACCAGATGGTGGTACACATCAGTGATGAAAGTCACCAAACCGAGAGCATCTGAAAGGAATGTAAAATCATAAGACAATTAATTATTTATATGCATAAAAATGAGAAGAAAAAGTATACGTCATCTAACCTGGCATTAAAATATTCTGCCCAACACGCTTCTCAAGTTGTTAAAAGGGAACACATTATAGGCCAACATGGAAAACTTTTCTAGTTGTGGAGTAGGTGGTTCAGCTATTGTTCACTCACCGAAACAAAGTCTCAATGGGTGATTCACTGCTTTGTATGTTTCTCTAGCATTCCGTATATCAAAATGTTCAATTGTGTAGAATATCATTTGTTTAACTTCTTTATAAATCCGGGCACTCTATTGAATATCACTGATCCCTCTAGAGTACCAACGTGTAAAACTAGACAAGTGGTGACTGAGTGACTGAGTATAATCTAAACTTGCACATTATCACCTAAACTGATAATCTGTGCACTGTAAATAAGACTGCAATGGAAACAAAATTTATAGTAAGCTTACCCAGCATCAAGATATTTAATCCAATCCATTTTTTCAAGCTGTGTATCTAAACTCTGAAAAGTTTTAGGTTGAGGAACGATTGAACCCAGGGTTGTTCTCTAGGCGAAAATCATTATGTATGGATGATCTATTGCATTGTATTTCCCTATGACATGGTAGATTTTGAAAGAACCAATCCTATAAACCACTCCTTCATGAACCCTGTTATCAAAGGTGTGCATTCTTTTTTTGGGTATTGTTCTCTCCACCATGTCACCCTAGAAAAACACATATTCTATAACTGTTGGCTTGACTTTTTTCCTCTTGTGTCTCTTATGCTTGCTAGCGATTTCTCTTATTTTTTTTTTTCAAATTCATTTTGAGTTCCTCAAGATCGGTCTTCCCACTGTTCAGCCCATATCACTCCTACTACCAGCAGTTAGCTAGATTGGTATAGATGAAGAAACACATAATCATGTACGCACACATCACTGGGGCTCAATTTGATGGCTACAAGGGCTAAGCGACCACATAAGTTGATGTCGACGCATGATGCGACACCTGTGCGATGGTTCACTCTCATCATGTCCGTGATGAGAACCACCGACAACTCCACTTCCAGGATGCCATGACTTGCCTCTTCGACGAGCGACACCGGCAACTTCGTCTCCACAACGCCTGGTTCCGACGCGGTGTGACACGGTCATGCCCTGGTCTAGAGCAGCGCATCCAACATGGCGGCGAGCAGGCCCACCGCCATGTTATTTTTAACGTTGGCACCCCGCATGACATTGCCAAAACTTTGCTTTCGTGTTAGATCATTTCGCGACCACCGGAGTGGCCACACCCACTCACTCCTTGGTCTTCGACGCGCTCCTCATCTGCCCTGGTCGATGCATATGCGCCAAGCGCCGTCGTAGTAATCAATCAAAAGGGTCAGTGAAGCAGCGAGAGAGAAATAGAGATTGAGGTAAGAACGAGGAAAATAGAGTATGTTTCCCATGAACTCCATCACAAATCCGACGTCAGTTTTTTGACCATGGCAAATCAAACTTTTTAATGACAATTTGTGTTTGCCGACAATAGCAAATTTAGTTGGCAAGCATGACAAATCCGTCTTAGTTCACTTTTTTTTCCAGCCGTGCTCGTAAACTATATCTGTCATCCTCACGCCAACTAAATGTGCCTAAAAAACATTTGATTTGCCACGTTTAAAAATATTATGCCAAATTTTTAATTATATTAGGCTGACACATGGGCCCCATGTTGAGTTGGCAGTATAAGTCTTTTTTTTAATCGTATGGCGGTATAAGCCCTCGGTGTAAACTATAGCTGGCCAAACGGGCCGGGATAGTTGGGCCGGCCCGGTAGCACGGTTGGCACGGCACGGGCGGCACGACACGACACATGCTAAACGGGCCGGGCCCGACACGCAGCACGCCATAGGCCGTGCCTGGGCCTGAAGGGCGAGCACGCGGGCTGGCACGGCACGGCCCAATTAAATTTTTTATATTTTTTATGTATCCTAATATGGGCCAACAGGTAAAAATAGGCTAAAAACGCCCAGTACGCAAAATAGGAGGTAGATTAGTGGGCCTGGCGTGCCGGTGGGCCGGCCCGATTAGCATACGGGCCGTGCCTGGGCTGCAGGCTGCAGCACGCGGGCTGGCACGGCACGGCCCGTATAATAATCGTGCCTAGGCGGGCCGGACCGTGCCAGGCACGATTAGGATGGGCCGTGCCGTGCCGTGCCGGGCCGGCCCGTTTGGCCAGCTATAGTGTAAACCGCCTCTCCACAACATTGCGAGGGGGAGTTGTAACCGAATTGTCGAATTGTGAGACTCGAGGGGTATAGGTATATACACCTCCCCGTCCGCGGTCCAGCCTAGAGTTCCGGCAAAATCCCCAATCCCGCAGAGCACGTTCCCTCCGCCCCTCGTTTCCCCACCCACCAGCCTAGGGTTCCGGCGAGATGAAGCAGCAGGATGGAGCTAGCCCCGCGTGAGCCCTCTCTCTCCCCCCTTCGTACCTTCCGTCCGTCGGCTCGTTTTCTGCATCTCGACTGCCGAGACGTGCTTTTTTCGCTGATTATGATTTTTTCTGTTTCTTCTCCGGGGGGATTCGTGCAGCAAGATGTTCATCGGCGGGCTCTCCAGGCAGACAAGCATGGGTACGTGCAGATCCGTTCTAGACTTGACCTTGTACCTTGTTCTTTTATTCTGCCGCAAGCTTCTCGATTTCGTTAGGTTCTGTTCGTATTCTTTCAGATCTAGTCGTTGTTTGCCCTAGATGTCGATTTACCTTGTTGTGGAGGTTTGTAGCCTCGAAGATCCCGTGGACGCCAGTCTGTTTAGTCGTAAAAAACTTGTGATTTGGTTGGGTCGTCATTAGTGTATGCGAATTGTTGTGATTTGGTTGGGTCGTCATTAGTGTATGCGAATTGTTATGATACACGGCTTTGCGGTTAGATATGAAGGGAGGTGGACTTGGGAGTCCTGTTATGGAGTCTATTTGGGTAGACAGAAGTGAATTGTTTGTTGGAAAATCATTAAACGATACTGGGTGCATATGTTAACTGATTAAAAAAGAAGCACTTCTGTGTTATTAAAGAAACGAAATTGCTTCATATACGGCGTTCTATATCTGATTTCCGTTGGCCGCCATGCATCGTCGGATTTGCTTGTGACGTTGGATCGAAGGGTCACGACTCAGTGTCGTACATGCATCGGACGAGAAACCGTCGTATGTACATTGTGGGATTTGTGAACATGTCGTACAGTAGGATTTTTTATGCAGTTATTAAGTCGAGCAAAACGTTCCACAATTGATATTCACTTTCTTCTGATGTCTTATTATCTTGGTAGGACCTAAAACGCTACCTTTACGATATTTTTGAACCTGTTAAGCAGGTTACTTCGGTGCTTGATGATGAGTTAGCATACCAATGTAGATGTTTTAATGCTGTTTTGTTCTCCTGTTGAACACCGACTTGCTACTAATTGATTTGCTTGGTTCTTGACGTGCAGATACGTTCAAAGAGTACTTTGGGAAGTACGGGGAGATAATTGATGCGGTAATAATGAAGGACCGCCATACCCAAAAGCCCAGAGGCTTTGGATTTATTACCTATTCAGATCCTGCTATTGTTGACAGAGTGATTGAAGATAACCATGTCATCGATGGCAAGCAGGTACACTGCATGGTTCCTATTACTGCTGCAATTACATCAGTTCACATGGGAGCTCATCGCTTTTCCTTGCTTTTTATGTACACAAGTCATATGAAGTTTAAGATCCTTGAGCATGCCACAGCAAAAAAAAAAAAACAGTTCTATCTTTAATGCGGTTTCTTTTTAAGAATCAAAAGGCTTAAAACCCCCAGTTTCACTTCAAACTAACTAGACATAATATGAAAATTCCAGGTCGAAATTAAAAGGACTATCCCGAAGGGTGCTGCCCCCCTGAAAGATTTCAAGACAAAGAAGATTTTTGTTGGCGGATTGCCTACTGCTCTAACAGATGGTATTATGTGTTCTTTTTTACTGCCAGTTAGCTTCGTTGCTCTGGATAATTAGGTTGAAGTCCTCAACTTGTTTATTTAACAGGTGAATTCAAGGACTTCTTTTCAAAGTTTGGAAAGGTGGTGGAACATGAGATCATCTGTGATCATTCGACCAACCGGTCACGAGGATTTGGATTTATAGTGTTTGATGCAGAAAAAACTGTAGATGATTTGTTAGCTAAGAAAGGCAATAAGATTGATCTAAATGGTACTCAGGTGAGCCTTCGTTGGTGCTTTCTAGACTTCCGTGAGCCTAGTTTCGTACCACAGACACTAATAATTAGTACAGACCTCCAGTTACTTGGAGCTATCACACCATATTTGCCTGATTTGCTCTTTCGTTTGAGTCGCCAGTTGTGTTCTTACATAGGTGGCAGTTTATTAGCACTCCATTCTTGGAAGTAAATAGAATTGAAAGAGACATAGGTTGACTTTCTTGCTTTGCTGTAGGTGGAGATCAAGAAGGCAGAACCAAAGAAACCCTCTAACCCACCTCATTCACTTGATAGCAAACCTAGGAGATCTCCTTATGCAGATGGTTATGATGGATTTGCCAGCCGTTACAACAATGGTGGTCGCTTTGCCCCCTATAAATCACCTGGTTTTGGCGCTAGGCCTGGCAGCTACAGTAGTGCTTATGTTCCTGGCAGCTACAGTAGTGCTTATGTTCCTGGCAGCTACAGTAGTGCTTATCCTGGTGACTATAGTAGCGGCTATGGTGGTTATGATGGAGCATTTGGAGGTCATCATGGAGAATCGTCGCTCTACTCCAGTCGTTTTGGTGGCAGTTATGGTGGTGGTTTAGGTGGTGCATATGGGCGTGATGCTGTGCCTTATGGTGGTGGTTTAGGTGGTGCATATGGGCGTGATGCTGTGCCTTATGGCACGTCTAGCTATGGGCCTAGTTATGACTCTTCAGGTGCCAGTGCCGATCCTAGTGTTAGGTCTGGCGTGGGTGGACTCTATGGTGCTAGGGGAGGCTATGGTAGCAGCAGTGGTGGTGGTGCTACTGGTCGCTACCATCCATATGCAGGGTAAGCCTGTGGATGGTCAATGCTAGATGAGAACTTAAGAGATATCACCTGCAGCTAGAAGAGCCTTGTGATCTGCTTAGTTTGCTACTCCATGGTTGTAGAACTTAAAGACGTTGTTTAGTGTTTGAAATTTAAACATACTGAAGACTTGTGCATGTTTCTTAGATGCCATGTTCCATGTGAAATAGCTTGCTATATCGGTTTTGCTTGTTTTTGGTTGTTGATTTGGAAGTTGCTTCACATACAGCATTGCCAACCTATCCACCATTGCAGTTTTCAATTGTTGATCCTATAGTGCTCTAGGTTGGTGATCATTTAATGTCCCTTCTTTGGGATGATATTATGGTCCTTTCATGTAATAAGCTAGTTTAGGCCTTTGTCAGTTAATCCTCTCCCCATGGGGGTTGGAGAGGGTTTAGACCTCTGGTTTGGAGGAATTTCATAGGAATTCTGTAGGATATGATTTCTATAGGAAATTTCCCTTTGGTTTATAGGAACGGGATTCCTATTCCTATGCAGGATTGCTAACTTTTTCAAAGGAAAATAAACATTACGCAAGACTCAACAGAAAAAAAATTCCTATCCTGTGAACCAAGATTTAACACCCCTCAGCCCTCTTCCATCCCCACCAAACTGAACGTGCCCTTGGTTGCATTGTGAACTTGTTTAAATCTGAAGATTTTGGTTTACATGTTGAATTATACTGTTATTATATTTCTTATCCCCTGATGTGTGTAACATTTTAATAAGCACTTTTTCACGTCTTTCAATTATTTCTGCTGTGAACTAAATGTCTCCGCTTCTGAGAATGGAACTAAATTGATGTATTCATGCGTTCAATGGTTGATAGAAGCCCTGGCAAAAAAAAAAGTTAATAGAAGCACGATTATCCATGACCCAAAGTATATCACACCTAACACCTAATTATCGTAGAAGCCAGTCACCAAAGAAGCCTTTGTTGCAGGACTTGGCTTAGGATGGGAGAAAACCACGAAGTCGCTAGTGGATCTTTGGTCCTGGTAGCAGCCTACCAGTGTTCCCAAATATGTAGGCTGTCCACCTTCACGGTGAAGGGGAGATCCGCCTGAGTCGGTGGTTAGAATATTAGCTTCTCCAATATCATGGGACAACTTTCCTCAAATTTTTTTTTAAAAAAGTAATGGGAGAACTTCTCATGAACACGCATGGGTGTAAAAGCTGGCTTGCAATTTGTCACGTGAGTGCGCTCAAGTAGATCAACGCCGTACCTTTCTTTTGCCAGAATTGCGAGCCACTTCACTGCCCAAGACGTTAATCATATAGTGGTGCGGTTATTTTGTTAGGCAAAAATGTTTAAGGAAAATATTCTACTGGCCTCTTGTTGCATGCATGCCACAGAAAGGGCTAGAGGATTGGATAGCTCACTCTTCTTAGAAGGAAGGCACAAAATGGGCCCACTGACTATAGGGGCACAAGGCAAAGTTGGATCACTTGCTTGCATAATCTCCCTATAACATTTTGTTTGCTAAAGCTTTCTATCAAGATGCGCCGGGCCAGGTGGGTGGCCGTCGATGCATAGGCCAAAGGTCGTGCGGGCACTTGTGCCCTCTCGTCCCCAATGACGGTGTGGTTGAAGAGGTCAAAGCGCCATTGGTGATTGGCGAGGTCGTGCGAAGATTACTATAGCCATAGTCGGGTTCGATAGTGCGTCGAGTGTGAGGTGATGTGACCGGCAGCGGTGAACGAGCAGAACAACTGTCGTCGTTGCCTAGGGGAGGGTTGTCTCGTCGGTGATGGTCAGAGGCATATTTGACATTCCTATGTGTGTGATCAGATGCGGTGGCACATGGGTTGGTGTAGCTAGGTGGTGGTGAGGTTTGCCAGATCAGATGGATTTGGCGCGATGCATCGGGCATTGGGTTGGTCACATCGGGTGGTTGTGCGAGGCGCAACCCTCTCCCACTGCTACCGATGATAGTTGTCGAGATGGTGCATTTCATGATGACGGCTACCATACAACAACCATCAATTGAGATGATGGTGCGGTAATGATGGTAAGCGACGTGACAACGCCTTTACTTTTGGTAATTTTCATTTTTTTTCCTTTGGCCGGCTAGTTCCGTGTGAACAGGTAGAGTGGTGGGTGCTGACTATGGCGACAAACATCGTGGATGTATTTTCTTCGGGTGAAAACTCAGGATCTTGCTTTGTTGCTTCATCATGCAATGTCAATGTTGTTACCTTATTGAATTGCTTATGTTGTTGCCTTATTGAAAGTGTTTCGACCCCTTCAAGGGTGATATCCCATTGGTCCGACACATCTGTTTGGACCAACCAACAGCCGCGATTCCTTCTTGAAGTCGTTGTCTTGGAGCTTTGCATCCTTTTTCTTCTAATATATTGTGGTAGGTTTGGTGGTATGACATGGAGATGCTGTGAGGCATGTCCCATGTCCTATGGGTGGACTCAATTTTTATGATGTTCCTCTTTGTAAGCTGATTTGTTTGATATTATCAATAATCGATAATATATGCTTGTGTGCATCCCTCAATATAGAGGGTCTTCCCTCTTCCTTTCTAAAAAAAGAACTCAGATCATCGTAATTGAGGCAGGCATGCTGCCATCAACATCTTAACCCAAATTCTACCTTTGCGTTTCTCTTGCTGAAATATGCCAAGTCACACAACCAACAAATTATCATCATAGCACGTACTCCTTTTGTCCGAAAAAGGTTGTCCTCCTTCAAATGGATGTGTCTAGCACCAATTTAGCACCAATTTGAGGGACAAGTTTTTTCGGACTGTATATGCTTCGCAGAAACAAAAAAATTCACTGTCCGATAGCTCGTCGAGATCGGCCAAGAAGAATCAATAAGGCAAGCCTGAAAACTGTCACCAGTTTAGCTCTTTAGGAGTCACTTTGTCACATGTGGTAAAAAATGAATAGAACTAACTAGCTCCCACCGTGCCAGGGTGACCGGGCGGTCTACAGCAAAAGGAAAAAGTTTAAAATAAATCTTGAACTTGTAGGCAAAAGCCAAATCGAACCCTTAACTTAAAATCCGGGAATCAGCACACCAAATTCTTTAATCCCGGTCTGTTTTAAACCCTGAAAACGTTCCCAAACAGGGATTGTGGACGTGGCAGATCAAATACCAGGATTGTTGGCTGCAGACGCGATTGGGCCGGCCCATCGGGCGTGAAGTAATGCTTTTCTTCAATTCGTTTCTATAAGGCGCGACTTGAAAACAAAAGTAGACACTTCGGGGTATTGAACTTGCGACTAGGCGCTGCTGCCCCCCACCTGCCAGCCACCTGAGTACGTGTCTGTTAGTGATATATAATTCGAAGCTCAACATAGTTAATAACAGACCGCAAAGTCGGCATTGAAAACATTTTTTAGAGCAATTTTTTTAAACGTATTTTGTTTAAATGGCCGAACATTTTTTAAAGTGCGAACTTTTACATCAAATTCCGAATACTTTTGACAAAAGAACCATTTTTTAAAACACAATCAGTTTTTTGTTCTTTTTTTTGTTTTTTGGGGGAATTATTTTCATACCTGATTTTTTTAAAAAAATTACGCAATGAAATAAAACGTTCTATAATTTTGTAAAATCTTTATTATCATTAAGAAAATGTAATACACGTGTTTGGAAAAAAGTTACCGTGTCACATTTGAAAAAAATGGAATTTCTTGAATTATTTGCGTTAAAACATTATAATGGGTATTTCAAAATTGTTCACATTTTGTTTCAGAAAAATTTAAAAAAACCAGGAATGTTTTCATATATGAACGCTTCTGTTAGTTTTTTTAAAACGAAGCCCTGTCTATAATCGCTAGCAGCCGTCGGGGTTAGTGGTTAGGTGCGGGTCTTTGCTAGTGTGTTATCCTGAGTTCAAGTCCTCCTACGTGTAACTTATTTATGCGTCTGCTGGTATTTTTTGTCACTCCTAAGACAAGTGAGTACCCCTTAGGGGAAGACAAAGTGGGTACGTGTAGTTCTAAAAGGTGTGTATTGTGATTACGAAAATGTAAACTAGAATTTATTATCTTTACAAAAATGAAAAAACAAAGAAAGAAAAACGAAAAAGCTAAACAGGGTAGAGCAAGCGAGCGATTGTGCTAACGGGCCAGCCCAATTCGTCCTAGTGTCTACCCAGCCCTTGCCACGTCAGCAAATACCATTTAAACACCTTCAAGGTTTAAAATAGACCGGGATTGAAGAGTTCGGTGTGCGGATTTCCGGGATTACAAGTTCAGATTTTGATTTAGCTTTCGTCTACAAGTTTAAGGTTTGTTTTAGACTTTTTCCACAGCAAAAGAAGGTTACGAGGCTACACTTATTTCCGCATGCAAAACCTGAACAGCATATCGACGGGCGATACATCTTTTTTGATCAAATAAGAACACTTACATTGTTCACAAAAGACACATTAATAAAAGATGGAGAATCATCTACCCAATAGTTATCATAATTTTTTTTGTTATGTTTTGAGAATGATAGTTCTCATAGCTATGCTTGCAATTTCATGTGCGACTTCATTGGCCTTCCGATGACAATGAGTAAGCTGCACATTGCCTATCTCCACGATCAAATCAACGCAGTCCGTAAACACTGTAGCTCCTTCATGACACCATGTTCTTCAATGGCGGAGCTATGTTGGGGCCAGGGGGCCGCTGCCCCCCAGCCTTTGATCAATTGCCGAAGAAAAATTATTTAGGAAGGTTTAGATTAGACTTTTTTTAGCAT